GAGTAAAAGCCGCCCCCGAGTACCCACCTCCCTCAAATAGACGCCTCCCTCAAATAGACGCCTCCTGGGGCCAAAGTAGTGAAGGAAATTACCGCCACCTTCAAATAGACGCCGCATGTAATGTTATTTATTGTTATTATTATTAATAACTAGCAATTAATTAATTAGTAAAATGGCCGTCTAGTCACAGTTGAGTCTGAGTTGACTGTAGCCACTTCATGCTATCGATAAGTTTTTCTTTCCAGGAAAGGTATAGATACATGGTACTTCTAGACCCTTTCCAAATGCCCTTTTCTCATTAACATGAGCTTCTATTTAACCCCATGAAGCAAGAATTATGATGCAACTCGTGAGAACACCCTTGGAAGGAGAAATAGCTCATAATGCTAAGACACTGGGGAACATCTAAACTCCTGCAGCCTGAGGTATAACATGAGAGTGCTCTTTTTCCAGACCTGGAACTGAAAGTAGTAATTGACATGATGAAGATTAAATTATTAATTATTACAAATTTTGTTTAAAAAGAATATTTTAGGTAAAATTGATAATTGATTTTTAATAATCGCCGCCCCGAAACAATGGCTGCCCTCGTATAGTTGCCTCCCTCCCATAGATGGAAAAATGAAATAGACGCTGTGGCTTTTACTCGAGGAATTACGGTAGCTGTCTGGTCTGATATTTTCTATTGTCTCTACCTCATAAAAGCCTTTTTCAAAGATTTTATGTTGTGTTATTATTGCTCTAGAAAGCGCTTCAATATAAACTGTGATAGACTAGTGTGTCTACTTTATAAAACATCACATCTTCATGAAATGATGCCGAAATTTTTGTTTTGCATGTCGACATCTGTATCTCAAGCACATTTCTGAATACTTCATGATTAGCAAGGTAGACTGATTCTACAAGCAGTCCTCCAGGTCTTCCGACTCGAAGCAGTCCTGTGCCTCACTTTGGTGGTGTTTTACATACAAATAAAGCAATTTTGCTGTGTTTTGCTTCTACACGCCTATCTCAAGAGCTAGACATTCTAGTGCCTAAAGGGCCCCATCTACAGAAAGTCTGTAACCTATCCCTGTCTTCCACCCATTAGCAGTTGTTTTAAAATACTCTAAGTACCTCAAAAAATTTTTTGTTTGAGACACATGAAATAAAGTGATGAATAGTCTTGCCGGGCCAGCCCCAAAGGAAGGGGCTGGCCTGGCGAGACTAAGTGATAGATTACCAACATTCTAATTTTGAGGAGCCAAATAATAAAATAATCATCAGATAGCTAAAATAAAGGAAAAATATAGACATGGCTCCATTACAAGTTCATTTTCAAGTTGATACAGTGGACCTGAACAGGCTGAAAGACGATGAGAAAGACCTGCAACATCACAGACTTGCCACCATTGCTCAGTGTAAAAATGAAATTTACTGACAATTAGAAAGAATTAATACGGTATGGGGAAGGTAGCTTGATTTCCTGTGAAAGGAAGTTTCCTATCCCTGTAACTCTAATATCTATGTTATTAATGCTGAAATTGCATCAAAATGGTGAAAATCAAGAAGAATTGTTATGTTTGATAAGCTGTATTAATTTTCTACAGAGATGTAGCTGGTTCTAAATAGCTTATTCTCATGAAGAAAACACCAGAGATCATGGTGATGCCTTTCTCTTTGTGTTTCTATGCTTAGTTCGCTTGGGAGAGGTACAACAGATCGGC